ATTGTGGATGTATACAGGGTGAGTTACTGAGCGCGCGGTCGTCCATATCTCATATACTTACGGAGATAGAAGAAAAAACTAAATACAAAATTTGTAGATAAACATGAGTACTACATTCCTAAATTATTTTCCAGTAAACAGGGTGGCCCAATTACTAGTAGTGACACAAAGTTATGCTTTTTTAAATGACTCCCCCTGTATATTATGACATTTCTGGATTGTGAGGAAAATTTTAGACATATTTCATGTACAATATCATATACCTATCTTCAACTGTTTCGGAAATATTGACAGTTGAAAATTGACTTTTTTGCATCCTTGACAGACTGTGAAACCTAAGTGGTTAATTTTAGAGGAAAACGGATTTTACATTCCTATCTTAGATTTTCATAAACTATCATTTGCCACCAACTTTGAATTTAACTGAAGATTACTTAATAATTTAGGCGGAATTTTTAATCATGGATCAAATTCAAGGTCGATGTCAAATGATAGTTTATGAAAAACTAAGATAAGAATGTAAAATCCGTTTTCTTGTAAAATTAACCGTTCAGGTTTTACAGTCAGTCAAAGATGCAAAAAAGTCAATTTTCAACTGTCAATATTTCCGAAACAGTTGAAGATAGGTATAAGACATTGTACATAAAATGTGTCTAGAATTTTCCGCAGAATCCAGAAATGTCATAATATACAGGAGAAGTCATTTAAAAAAACATAACTTTGTGTCACTACTAGTTATTGGGCCATCCTGTATACTGGAAAATAATTTAGGAATGTAGTACTCATGTTTATCTCCGTTAGTATAGGAGATATGGACCACCGCGCGTAACTCACCCTGTATATGAATAAAAACTATATAAACTATAATTTTAAACAAAAACCAAGAAAACACACAATTCATTAATCGGGTATTTTCTTGCTTGCTTTAGTTGCTGTTTCCGCTGGAAAAAATTATACTCACATATTTAGGCAAGTTTTTCTGAAGGCAGTCCTATTCTTCTTGTTTTTTTTTTTTTCTCTCTTCAAACTTCTTATTGTAAAAATGCTGCAAGCCGGTCCCGTTCTTTCTGTTTCCAGTCTTCTTCTTTATTCTATTTGTTTTTTTTTCTGTCTTTGGGATTCTTGTTGTTGTAAAAGTGCTGCAAGCAATGTAAGCCGGTCTTGTTCTCTTTGTTTTTCTTTTCATCCTCGAACTTCTTCCAGTTTTTTCTCGAGTTTTTCCTTTTGTCTTCAGTCTTCCTCTTTGTCTCTTGTCCTCCAAAATTTTCATGAAGTCTGACAATATTTGATTAACTTGCTCCATTTCGAACGCCGTCGGTTTGCTGTCATCTATTCATCATAGAATATCCTGTATCTTTCTTGAAACTTGAGTTTGAATCTAAAGTTCTGTGATGAAGTGAAATTTTAGAATAGAACACAATGCAATATTTTAGAAAAACCACTTTGTGGACTTGTTTTTTGATATCGAAATCACTAATGAAGTCACTATTCTTGTATCACTCACAGTTTCCCAATGGGATTTTATGAAAATTTCTAAAATTTTCCAGAAAATCTGAGCTTGTTTTAGATGTTGAAGCCAGCAATACAGTCACAGTCTTGTATCACTTACGGTTTCCAAATAGAATTCTAAGAAATTTCTTTTTTAATTGGATCACCACTGAATTTTAAAGAAAATCCTCGAGAAAAACCGCTCGTTTAGCTGGTTTTTCGGTGTCGAAGCCAGTAAGTAAATCACTAATCTTGTATTACAGTTCCCAAATGGAATTATATAGAAGTTTATAGAATTTTCCAGAAAATCCGTTTGTGAGCTTATTTTAAGATGTCAAATCCGGCAATAAAGTCACTTTTCATTTCAATAATAGTTAGAGGTGATTTTGGGAAAACACAAGTGTTTTGCCAAAGCGCCAACACACGTGTCAGAGCAATACAAAACTCATAGTATGAGTAATTAACAGTGTGTTGGCGCTTTGGCAAAACACTTGTGTTTTCCCAAAATCACCTCTAACTTGGTTCGCCACACTGTCAAGAATGTTTCTATTTTCGAAAATTTATTTTCGAAAATCTGATTTCAATAATAGTTCTTTGATTGTTCCCCCAGTAATTAGCTCTCAAATCGAATAGAAACAGGCGGCGTCCGACGTAAACAATTCATTTTCTCAGAATTCTCGCCGGGTTGTCGATGCACTTTCGTAACAATAATAAAGGAAACATTGGGGAATTATCAGAAATTACGGAGAAATTATGTTAAATATTCGGGAATTACAGAAAATATAAGGGAATTATGAGGCATTAAGAGGAATTATGAGGCAATATGAGGAATTACTGGAAAATATACGAAATAAAGGCAATATTCGGGAACTAATTTCCACAAGTGGAAATATTTCTCAAAAATCTCAGGGGTGGTTTATCCCTTGTTCCCCCTAGTCTCTGGTACTTGAAACCCCTTAAATCACCCTGAAAGTTATTTGCAAGTCAATTGAGGTTCCCCAAACGATGTATATTGGTACTGTCCATAACTTCCAGTACCATTTGTACCCGAGACATAGAGTTGAAATGTCCATATTTTCACAAAAACTTTTCGACGAATCGCAATTATTATAGTTTTACCCCCTTTAACCACCCTACAAGTTATTTGCAAGTCTTTCCAGGTACCCTAAACGGTGTATATCGGTACTGCTTATAACATCCTGTACCATTTCTGTTTGAGACAAGGGTGGAAATGTCCATATTTTATTCTCACAAAAACCCCTTTTTCGATGAATCGCAATTATTAGTTTTAACCCCTTAAACCACCTTCGAACAAAGTGATTTGAAAGTCAAGTGAGGTTCCCCGAATGCGATCCCAAATGGTGTATATTGGTACTGCCTATAACTTCCAGTACCATTTCAACCCGAGACCAGGGTGGAAATGTCCATATTTTCCTGGATATTTTCATATATAATATCACAAGAGAAAAAATTTTGTCGGCAAAATTTTCAAAAGGTATGAAAGTTTGTTGCTTGGCAATTTCGCGAATGACATCACAGAATGACATTTTTGACAAATGTCATGAGCGAAATTACCGAAAAGCAACAAACTTGAATAAAACCTTGAGTACAATTTCGCCTACACAATTTTTTCTCGAGTGGTATTCGTCATGACTATTTCAAGAAAGATTTTGAAAATAAATAGAATGTAAAAAGATGAATAAAAACTTCAAATTAAAAATATCAGTTTGACAATGTCAAAAAATGGTCGCTGAAATACCATGTTGTTGGTATTGTCCAGGTAGCAATATTGTCAGCTGAATACCGAATTTATTGTCGAATGTAATACCACAAGAGGTTTCAGGATTACGCAGCAACACCACGACTCCGAAGGAGGAGTGGTGTTGCTGATAACGCGTAGAGTGTCAGGTAAAAGTATTCGGTAATTCTAAAATATCGAGTGGTATTCAAAAGGTTATACAACGAACTAATACTTCAAAATTTAAAAAAAAATCTATAATAGAATTTGCTATAAATACCACCAAGCGCGATAATCTCAAAAGGCTTATCACTTGTTAAGCCTCTCGTGTCATATGGGAATAATGTACAGTGAGTTGTATAATCGAATGTAATACCACAAGAGGTTTCAGGATTACCGGATAATACTTTTACCTGTCACGAAACGCGTTACGCAGCAACACCACGACTCCGAAGGAGGCTGGTGTTGCTGGTAACGCGTTGAGTGTCTGGTAAAAGTATTAGGTAATCCTGAAACATCGAGTGGTATTCAAAAGGTTATATATATATAACGAACTAAACCTTAATACTTTGAAATTTAAAAAAATTTCTATAATAGAATTTGTCATAAATGCCACCAAGCGCGATAATCCCAAAAAGCTTATCACTTTTTAAGCCTCTCGTGTCATATGGGAATAATGTACAGTGAGTTGAATAACCGGTGTAATACACTAGTGAAATAGTCATAAAAACCCTTTTTTCGATGCCTCGCAATTATTAGTTTCACCCCCTTAACCACCCTCAAAGTTATTTGCAAGTCTTTAACTACCCTAAACGGTGTATATTGGTACTGCCTATAACTTGCAGTACCATTTGTACCCGAGACAAGGGTAGAAATGTCCATAATTTCACAAAAACCCTTTTTTCGATGAATCGCAATTATTAGTTTCAACCCCTTAAACCATCCTCAAAGTAATTTGGAAGTCAATTGAAGTTCCCCAAACGATGTATATTGGTACTGTCCATAACTTCCAGTACCATTTGTACCCGAGACTAGAGTGGAAATCTCCATATTTTCACCAAAACTTTTCGACGAATCGCAATTATTATTAGTTTTACCACCTTTTACCACCCTCAAAGTTATTTGCAAGTGTTTTTAGGTACCCTAAACGGTGTATTATTAAACTAACCCAATCAAGAACCGGGAATAGTCGAAATTTGTAACATAATTATCCAAATTAAACTTTTGACTATTCCCGTCCCTTGATTGGATTTATTGAATTTTATTTGATTAACTGAATTGGCCTTGAGTTATAAAAGCAATCCAATCAATAACCAGGAATTCTCGAAATTTGATTTATAAATAGGTACCCGCACTGTTCTTGATTGGATTAATTTTGTTTGAGTTGATAAATTGGATTGTTTCTGAGGTATTAAACTAAACCATTCAAGAGCGGGAATAGTCAGAATTTGCAATATAATTATGCAAATTAAACTCTTGACTATCCCCAGCTCTTGATTGTACTATTTAGGTTTTATTAGGGAAGTATATGATGTAACAATTTTTTTTGTAATACATACATAATATAAATCCAATTATCCTCAAACACAACTAATAAATCAACAGAAATAAATATTGAATATTGCGTCAGACTATGGAGGTTAATTGACTTTATCAAGCTGAAAATTTAACTGTCCAATGCCTCTCATTGCCCTCACTTCCCTAGGTGCAATTATTTTGTAATTTTGCAAAAAACTAATAAAATTTTATAGAAAAAAACCTTTATAGTCACCTTTCTTTTCTAGAAAAATGTCTTCCCGTAAAACAGTCAGCAGACGCGGAACCACCAAAAAACGTGCCCAAAGGGCCACTTCCAATGTGTTCGCCATGTTCGACCAGGCCCAAATCGCCGAATTCAAAGAGGCCTTCAACATGATCGACCAAAACCACGACGGATTCGTCGACAAAGAAGATCTCCATGACATGCTAGCCTCTCTAGGCAAAAACCCCGCCGATGACTACCTGGACGGTATGATGAACGAAGCTCCAGGCCCTATCAACTTCACCATGTTTCTGACTCTGTTTGGTGAACGTCTTCAGGGTACTGATCCTGAGGATGTCATCAAAAATGCTTTTGGTTGTTTTGATGAGGAAAATATGGGAGTTATCAATGAGGAGAGGTTGCGTGAACTGTTGACCAGCATGGGAGATAGATTCACTGACGATGAAGTTGATGAAATGTATCGTGAAGCTCCAATCAAGAATGGGCTTTTTGATTATGTTGAATTTACTCGCATTTTGAAACATGGAGCCAAGGATAAGGATGAACAATAGATATGTTCTATTTTTTGGCTTATAAGCCAGTATTGCAGCATTTATGTATATGATAACCTTTTTTTGTTATTCAAATTATCCTTTATATTATTTTGACCACATACATATTTTACATGAAATTTGATTATAGAATAGTTTGTGTATTTATTAAGTATTAATGATCTATTAACCATTTGGCTAAATAATGGCTAACTTGGCTTTTGTACTTTTTGGGAAAATATTTATAAAATATATGTTGTTTTTCAATTGTATTAAATTATGTTTTATTTTAATTGTAGGGGTACAATTGGGTAGCTATTAGATTAATTTGGAATATTGCTTTCAACCTTACAGCTTAACCATGAATCTGTGTATTGACAAGGATATTTTGGATATTTCTGCAGTTTTTGCACAAAATGTCGAACGCTGGCGATTTCCAAAAATTCCCTATTTATTCTGTCATTGCTTAAATAAAAACATCTACTCAATTTATTAAAAATTACTTTTAATTTTTACAAAACAATTATTGTTATCATTCATACTTATAAGTTCTTCTCGTGTATCACAATCGCTCACAAAAAAATCATACAAAAATGTAAAAAATAGAAAAATATTTACATATTTTTGGCAGTAAAATTACTATACACACTAGGTAACTCGTTGTCTTATAAAATGTTCAAAAAATAAATACAGCTTCATATTTTACACTATTTGTTCAAATGGTTCCTCCGAATCCATCATAATCTAGAATGTCTCTCTTCTCATTACAAATCACAAAAATAATTTCTATCACATTTTTTGTCCTATCGAACTGATACTCCATTTATGGTTACAACATTTCCGTTGGCCCGCCCTACAGGTTCTGGTTCATAGGTACCACTGTCCCTACGTCCAGTTTCATAGGGCGCATCATACATATTCTCATGCATATTTTCGTACATTGTAGGATGTCCGAAACCGTTCCGATCACTCAAAGTAGCGTAGCTCATTACAGCCGCGTTACGTTCTTCTTTTCTTTCAGCCCCTTCAACGTTTTCTTTATTTTTAACTGTGACTGGTTTACGTCTAAAATAATTTATGTATTAAAATAATGTTTTGTTTTTTTTGGACTGGTACATACAGCTTCCAATAAATAATGCCTAGCAGTACCAATAGGAACACTACCACACCAGCTCCAATTCCAATACTGGTTCCTAAATTAGACTCTTCTTGAGGTTCTTCTATAGCCACTAAAAATTCAAATTTTGCACATTATGGTAATTGCTAATGCTAAGACTTACTTTCACATCTAGGCTGTTCCCCTGACCATTGTGCATTATCCATACACTTTCTCAAATAAGGTCCTATGCGTTCAAATGTAGGAATACAATGATACTCAATTGCACTATTAAATGTAGTACCATTCATAACTATGACGCGCCCGTTTTCTATCGTACCAGGATGACCACAATCAACAGCTAAAAATTTCAATAATTGAGGATTGTTTTATTATAGTATTCAGGTACTTACGTAAACAGCTTGGTGCTTGGCCTCCCCAAGTACCCTTTTTCAGACAAATTCTTGTAGAGTTGCCTTGCATGGTGTGTCCTCTCGGACAGTAGTACTGCGCCACACCGCCCACACTGTGAGTGCTGACTTTGAAGTTTACATTTGCGAAAGAGTCTGGATCTTTGCATTGGATTTCTATGTAAAAAAAAAATGTATAGATATTTAAATAAAGTTTTTTAGACCTCACCTTTGCATAGAGGCGCATCTGAGCTCCAGGTTCCATTTTCCAGGCACAACCTTCTGGAAACGCCGTCCAATACAAAATTAGGATCACAGGAATAAAGGGCTAGGGCTCCGTAATATGTAGCATTGGACGGTAAAGTGACTGCTCCATTGATAACTTTCTCAGGGTTTCTACAGTCCACATCTGAAACATTTATTTAGTAGACTGTATCAAAACAAAGTTAAGTTTGTAGGTACTTACAAACACATTCAGGTACACCACCGCTCCATTGACCACTGTCCTCACAGGTACTCAAAGGTTCTCCAATCACCTTATATCCTCTTTCGCATCTATATTTAGCCAAAGCTCCTATTTTATAAGATGTCGCGCCAACATTGGAAGTATCTGCGGTTCTAATAAGAGTCCTACCATACATTCTATCATTGCCTGTGACTGAAAGAATCGCGTGGTCAGCAAGTACTGGCTCCGGGCATCTAATCTCTTCGCACTTTGGTGTCGCACCAGTCCATTGCCCGCTCTCCTGACAATTCCTTTTGTTAACTCCATTGAGCTTGTAGTTTTTGGCGCAACTGTAAGTGAGTTCGCTTCCCCAATAAGTTGAACCGTTAGCGTAGTGAACTTCTCCGTAAAGCATTGTTGGAACTTTGCCGCAATCTATGTCTAAAATTTCGTTAATTAGTAGTTATAATGTCTTATAGAAAACTACATACATTGGCAAGTTGGTGTAGTACCAGACCAATCTCCATTTCTTTGGCACACATGCGTGGCTTCTCCACGTAAAATGTGACCAACTTCGCAATGGTACTCAATGGCTGAGTTTACGTTAAAATCGACTCCAACAACGTAGCTGCCTGATGGTACGTCTGGTTCTTCACATGTAATTACTTTGAAAAAAAAAAAAACATTAAGGGATAAAATAAATTTGATTAAAAATCTTATTGTTGTATGTCCTATTACGTTATGTTGTGTGTCATCTTGTCAGTTATTATCAGAATAATCTGTACTGAATTTCAGCTTATTAATTAAAGCCTTAACGCCTTAATTTTGAAGGTCTTTTACTACAATTTAATAAGCTTAATTAATCAGTAATAGCTGAGGTTGTAGGAGTACTCTAGTAGAATAAATGGCCCTTGTTACTCAACCAATAAATTCTTAAAAGATCCTGCTAGTTTGGATTATTGTGCCCCTAACTCCCAGATTACTTAGGTGAGTATATAACATCAAGCTAATACAGACTATTCACCTTGGGATTAAATCTAGAAACCTCGGCGTAAAACAATGGTAACAGTTATTATTAAATTTTCTATTTCTACATTCAATAAGATCTCTTTTGTGTACTGCAACTAATTCTACACCTCATGAACGCATGTTCAACCATCCTAGAAATTACTGTATCAACCCGTCATTTAGCATCAAGGGGAGATTTGACACTGCCATCTCTGACAGATCAACATGCATGTGCAACTATCAGAATAAGATCAAAATGCCATAAAACTGTCAGAACAAGATTTTAATGAATTAACTATTCCAGAAGAAAACCTTACATCAGTCTGTTCAGAATGTTTATCATCTTTTTTTCCCTATAAATTATTCTAATCGTTCCCTTCCCCAAAATTCAGAACAATCTCACAATGAAAATCCTCCAGCTTTGTCTACAGTATACAAGGGAAAGGTGATTTTCTCCTTCTAGTTTTCGGAACATTCCAGGCATCCGTTACCCAGATATGCATTGATTTTGAATAGGATGGAGGAATTTTCACAAGTGGCTCCTGGGGATAACGAATGGAAAATCCGACAGAGAAGAAAGGAGTCTTGGTGCCCATATTTTCTCGCAACCCGGGTTCACCAGAAAATTAATTGATAGAACCTGGCTTCAGAAAAATAAAAGAGAGGGTATTGCAGGTTGCAGGAGGCTGAAGGGTTGAAATAAGGGCGTAATCTTGTAAGGAAAATCGAGATTTTGGGCGATTTTTCCACAAAACCCCATCGGAAGGATGAAAAATTATAACGTCGGTAGCAAGAAACACATATTGACTTGAGTGACGCGCATGAAATAGTATATTACATGCGAAGGTGGAAAGTGTTTCATTATTGTCGAGAGATACTATGGTTGACCGAGGTGCGAAGCGCCGAGGTCAACCAATTCTCGAGACAATAATGTGAACATTTTCCACCGAGTTATGTATACTATTTTATTTTGAACCATTAATTATTGAAAAAAATAAGGTAAAAATATGACAAAAATTGAATTTCGACTGAAAGTCTGACACCGACATTGACATAGGTATTATGAAATTTCAACAATATAAACACTTGTAACGTCTACTTCTAAATACAAACATTGCACCTGGATTTGTGTTTAGGTGTGAAAGAACAATTCATCAGGGCTGAAAGTGAATTCTCCAGGCCGAAAGTGACAGAACAGTCACTTTCGGCCTAATTTAAAGTAAAAAAAAGTAAAGTGACATTTTCGAACCTTCAAACCAGTAAGGAACGTGAAAATTACATATATGGTTCAAAAGTATATTTTGGGGTAACACACGTAAAATCGAATACTCCATATGTTATCCCCAGGAGCCACTCGTAAATTTCCCTTCATTCTACTCAAAATCGATGTAGGTACTTTTCTTGTATGATGCCATATATGAAAATGGGGCACCTATAAATCTGTCACTATCTGACGGTCTAAAAACCCAACCGGGAAGCCGGTCTCATCGAACTTTTAGCCAGATTAACTGGAATAATTCGGAAGAGTTCCCCTCTTCTTACGGAGGACGATACCGCTATCGTGGAATGGTAGACACAACAGTTCGGTGGGTGCAAATTGCACCAGCGAACCAGTCTGCATCGTAATGTGGTTAGGGTCAGTGGGAATCTTGTTAATCCAACATTATTAGTACAACTGGAAAAATAAACACCAATTCCAATCCAATCGAAATCGAGAGGCATTAGACAAGGACATCTCATGTCACGAGAACTTCTCGCGCCAGGAAAGGAAGATGTTTTCAAGAAAATAAATATAAAATAAATAACCGGTCGTGTTATGGTGAAAAGAAATCATATATGCCACCTTCATATCTTCAAGATTATATCAGAAACTCAGCGAGGAAGAATGTTGTATATCTCATTACCTTATTTACTGTGTTACCTATTTATTTACCTGTTATGTTGTATGTCATGTTGTCAGAATAATCTGTACTGAATTTCTGCCTAATAATCAATTCTGAAGGTCTTTTACTACACTTACATTCACAAAATGGCGCGTCAGAAGACCACTTGCCATCCTTGGTACATTTCTGCACCTTCTGCCCATCCAACCAATAATCGTCCTGGCAAAAATACTCCACAATACTCTCCACCGTTGTCGTACCATTCCTAAGCTCGTATCGGCCATAGTCAATGTTGGGAGGTGCGCCACAATCCACATATTTGCACGTAGGAGCTTTGCCTGACCATTCACCTCCAAGACCACAAGAAAGTACGCCTTGTCCATGAATAACGTAGCCAACTTGGCAAGAGTAAGTGGCCGTATCACCAGCACGATGCCCGGAAGTGTGGACAAGACCTCCGTGGATGGCTGGTGGGTCCGGACACCAGTCGAAGAGGCATTGAGGGGTGGAGTTGGTCCATTTTGCATCATCACCGCATGTCCGGACTTCGTGGCCTATGAGAGTATAGTTTTCGTGGCAAGTGTAAATGGCCCTGGCTCCGTGGGTGGTTCTGTTGTCTTTGAGGCTCACTGTTCCGTGGTCTAAGTCTGGCAACTTTCCACAATCAACAACTGAAAAAATTGATTTTAATTTACTGGGGCATGAAGAGTGCTTTGAAGTATCTTACATTTACAAGTCGGTGCCATTCCAGTCCAAAATCCGCTATTTCCGCAGCTTCTGTTTCCGGTGCCCACCAACATGTGGCCTTCTGGACAGTTGTATTTGATGCTAGCTCCTAAACTGTAGTCAGTTCCGGTTATTGTAGTGTTTATTAGCTTGTCAGGGCTTCCGCAAGAGGATGGAACTGAAAAGAGTGACATTCTATAACAGTTTCAAATAATTTTAAAGGAAAATTGTTTCTCTTAGCAGGCACTGGAAGTAAGTTACATAATAATTATACAGTCATAAATTTCTAGAGTAAAAAAGCAGTTTTATAATGTTGCGCTTTGTGCATGTGAAATGGTCGATTTTACGCATAAATGTTTATGAAACGAGGCTTTAAAAAAATGGGCTAATGAGATTTACGTAAACGCCCAGATGAATTTTTAATCGTTTCCATTCCATAATCGATTTGTATAATGAAATGAAAGGTTGGTTGGGGTAGGTGCGGTTACAATTATAGCAAACACTCGTTGTTTCTAGTGTAAACATTATACATTAATGTCATGTTTAATTATTGTATGGTTGATATTTTCTGATGGGTATTCTTGGTTTACAAAATCAATTAAAAAGGTGACCTTACCATGTTGACAAATCCAATGCAGGTAATCTAGATTACAGCCCACGTCGTTCCACAACCACCCACGGCCGCCGTCTAGTACCACACAATTCTGTTCGCCATTGTAATTGTTGGGTTGATCTTTGCCCCAGGCCGGACGTTGCACCAAATCACCTGCGAATTAAAATAAAATAGTCAAGGATTAATGGAGCAAATCACGGAAGCTCATAATATTTCCTAAAGAATGCACCAGTTTAGTTTATCAATGGCCGCATCTCACCACTTTCCTCGCTTGCATAAGAATAATTACATTTCATAAATTAGAAGTAATTGTGTCAAATTCAAATGAATGCTTAGGTTGTGTCTATTATAAGTTGACTTCTAGTAATTATAGCCTTACTGTTAATGGGAGAAAATTAAAGATATATATATATATATATATATATATATACGTTGAATGAGTGGTAAAACTGTTGCTACTTTCAGTACTTTCGTATATTCCATGTCAAAAAGTAATTATTATTAGGTATATTTTATGTTCATTATAAACTTATTTACCTACTTCATGAAAAATAATATACCTAATGCTCTGATCAACAGAAGAAAAAAAAAAAACAAAAATAGAAACTTTGCTAAATAATTAACACACACAAAACATGTATATCTCCCTAATAGACATGTTGAATAATGTATAAAGGCCTAATTGAGCAGGCGGTTGCTCAAGCTTTAGCCCATTAACATTCTATTGCAGCTTTGGAAGTATTTTTGTTGCTACCAGTGTTAGTAACTAGGTATACCACATATTTTCATAGCATGGAAATTTTGAATTTGGGCTTCATTTTCAAGAAAAACATTTCATGGTAGGTATACATAGTATGAACCACTTGCAATATCAGATTTAATAATTGAATAAATAACTTCTGGTTAATTAATTGCAAATTTTAGACCAATAATAATTTTTATATTCTAATTAACAGCACCATTGTAAAATCAATTTGAAATGCACGCTTTTCTTTGTTCATTGAAACCGGCGTACACTCTCCGACGCCTCTTCCTTTCGAAACGAGACAATAGAAATTAGCTTTCGATTAATTAACCGTAAAAATTAATTAACGAAATTTCTTTTGTTCGGAACAAGGCGTGCAACGGTGATCTGATAAGAACGATGAAGCATGATGTCCCTAATTGTTGTCAGAAGAAGAATGGCTAATTTGAAGAAAGTAGTTCGAAAATGGATTTACTATTGTAAACATATGCGAAAATGAACCGGTTAGAATAATTAACTTTTTAATGGGAACCAACTAAATATGACTAAGACTGAGTTTTGAGACAAATATTGAATTAAGCTATGAGTGGCTGATGGCAATAGTGTTGCCTTTGTATATAGTTATACAAAGCTCAAAATATGTACAAAAAACCTTCGAAGAAAATACTCAAAAAGTTTAGAAAAACATGGAAACATCAAATCGAAACAAGTGTAGTTTTCGAAAACGTCGTGTCACAAATCGAGCAAATGATCCCCGAATGCTTTACTCCGAATGTATGAAACAGTGCACCTTAATGTTCGTTTTGAACAATCTGCAAGTGCCCCGGTTGAATCAAGTTCAGTTGAGTAGTTGTCCGAATCAGAAGATGATGAAATGAATGCAGTCCAGATTTCTGCAACTCCATTCATATCAGAATGACTACTGGTACTGGTTGCGTTTCCAACCAATTGAAAAACCCGAAGTTTAAAATGTTGAATTGGAAAGATGATGATATTTGTTATGTATATAATATTATTATTAACTTGTTGTTGAATTTAGGATTGGATACTAACGTTATACTAATGAAGCAAGGTAATGCTCCTAATAAATTGTTTAGGGAGTAAATATTACAAGCTTCTTTCTAGTCTTACATCTCCAGACCTTCCTAACACGAAAACATACGATAAACTTATAAACTTACTCAAAAATCATTTATCACCAAAAAAGAATATTTTTGCGGAACAACACAAATTTTTTACAAGGAATCAATATCAAGGGGAATCGATTTCGATCTACATTGTTGCACTTAAAGATTTTATTAGAATATGTGATTTCAAAATATCATGTCAACAACATTATTGTAAAAACTGCAATAAATCACTAATTGACACACTTCTGAGAGCACAGTTTATTCGTGGTATACTAGATGACGAAATTACACGCAAAATTCTTCAGGAAGCCGACATTACATTTGACAAAGCTTTATAAACGGCACTAGCAAAAGAAGCTTCAAAGATACAAAACAAAGAAGTCTATAAAAGTTCCTATACAAACTCAGTTAATAAAGTTTCTAATTATAGCAATCAAATTAATAGAAGTTTGTCCAGAAATCGTCCAACACAATTTCAAAGCAATCGTCAAAACACAACACAGATCTCAAGCGGTCAACTAGGTACTACAAAGCGAGACCAATTTACGGAACTTAAGTTTAACATGGTTGTTTTGTTTAAATTGCGGAAAAAATAATCACCAAACAAAAGATTGTCGTATCAACTAAAATGTAGAAAATGTAAAAAAACTAGGCCACATAAGTAAAGTCTGCATTACAACGTTAAAAAGAACCTCAAATATTCAAAGTAAGATTTTTGAAGAACCAGAGAATTACTCAATTAATCAAGTAATCGAATTTCGCAATCAAACTTCATTACCTGTATACGAACCAAAAATGATAATTGAATTGCTTATCAAAGATAAACCATTCAAATTTGAATGCAATACTGGAAGTCGCGTATCTATCATATCTTTTTTGGATTATAACTGGCATCGAGGCCTTAAAAAACTAATCAACATTTAAATATAAACAATAATAAATAACATTCTTAAATACTGCTCTTTACATATTTCTTAAGATTATGGCTCACTGTCTTTGGTGTTCCTTCTAGGAGGTGTTTAGAAAATTATTACGCACAGTTTCTTTATTTCTCACATTGTATTTATGGAAGTCTTTATTTTGTTTTAGGTCAACTCTTGTTTTTAGTTAGAGAAGATCACTTTGATTGACTTATTTTGTAGTCTCTATAGCCTATTTAGGAGGCCAACACTAGCACTGCCCCAGCACGCTATTAAATAGCGTAGGTGAGGTTCCACAAAGCTGTTATACAATAAGTGTCTTGTTTTTGTGCTTAGTTGGTGGTTACACCTTCTTATTACACCTACAATTGGAGTGATTTCTTGTATGACTTTTTCTATATGTTCCTGCCAAGTTAATTTATCTGATATCACTAGTCCCGCCCAAGTATCTGATGTACCTACTCTTGTACTCTTCTAAGCTCTAATTGATTTAGCTTTATGGTTGGATCACACTGTCTCTTGCCTTTCTGATGGATCAATATATACACTGTTTTTTCCACATTAACAGTTAATTTGTTATAGCATAACCAATCATAGTATAGTCCAAGATCATCATTAATGATTTCTTCAATTTCACATTTATTTTTTTTCAGAGTACATTAGGACAGTGTCATCAGCAAACATAATATAGTCAAATTACAGCCCCACATGCTTTAAGCTGTGCACATATAAAAGTTACTGAAACGGTCCCAGTACTGACCCCTGAGCGACCCCCACTTTTACAATTTTTTCTTCACTACTTTCACCATTTACAACTGTATAGTGTTTTCTTCCAGTTGAATATGTTTTCAGGGGATCCTAGCATGTTCGTGTAAGTCCCATTTTATAGAGCTTTTGGAGCAGTAGATCAACGTCAACTGTGTCAAAGGCTTTCTTCAAGTCAATGAACACTGCCACAACATATTGATTTTTGTTTTTTGTCTATTTTACTTGATATATGTTCCAATAAATCAACTGTGGCTCCCAGGGTACTGCTGTTTTTCTGAAAACCATATTGCCTTTCATCAAACTTGAAATTTGCTGCTACAAAATTGTTTATTCTTATTTTTATATCTTCTCTATGATTTTGGTGGAAATACTAAGTAGGGATATGGATCTGTAGTTGCTTACGTCGTTATGGGTTCCTTTTTTGTATATTGGCACGATTTTTGCTGTTTTTAATTCTTCTGGATATATTCCACTTCCAATGTTTTGTTTAGGAGTTCAACAATTTTTGGTCCATCGGTGTCAAAAATTAGAGTTAAGTTTAATTTTTACTGTTGTCTTTGCCAGGTGCAGAGTGATTTTTTTAGTTCGTTTAGTGTGTTCCTTACTTCTTCAAGATTTGTTATCTTGAGTGTTAGTTTTTCCATTATTTCTTCTTCCTCAAACTTTTTACTAGCATTTGGTTGTATCTGTGAGGCTAGGGTTCATCCTATGCTTGCAAAATGATTATTAAACTCCTCAGCCATTTCAAAGTTATTCTCTGTCTCTGCTCCATCCCTTCTTGTTATTTTTGTAATGGTTTTCTGCTTATTGACATTTCTGTTACACAGGTCATTTAGGACTTTCCATGTTTTCTTCGGATCACTTTCTGCTTCTTGAAATTTCCTTTCGGCATACTGTCTGTAATGTTTTCCGAAGATTTGTATATTGTACCGAATTATAATAGTGCCATTTTAGGAAGAAGATGGTTAAGAAAAAATTGAATGTTAATATTCATGAAATACCTAGATTTAATTTCTTTGAAACCAGATTTGCAAGAGATTTTTGAACAATTTGAAGACGTTTTTACAGAAACTGTAGGGAAAATACCTGAAATAAAATGTAGGTACACTTTTCATGAAAGAAAACGCAAAACCAATATTTCACAAACCCAGAAGAATACCTTATGCATTGCAGAAAGAAGTAGATCGTGAATTAGATTTATTGGAAAAAGAAGGCATAATCGAAAAAATGGATTATTCTGATTTCTGAATGGGGGACACCTTTAGTCATTGTACCAAAAAGTAATGGGAAATTGAGGATATGTACTGCTTACAAAGTGACAGTAAATCCTCAGCTCCAGAATAATAGATATCCAATACCGAAAATAGAAGACATTTTCAATAAAATGCATGGTAGGTGAATACTTTTGCACCTTAGATTTATACAAAGCATATCTAATCTACACGTTACAGTTGATGAGGAGAGTGCAAAATATCAAATATTGGAATAAAGACGGCACCAAACGAGTTTCATGAAATTATCGATCAAATTACAAATGACTTAGAAGGTAAAGTAGCCTATTTTGATGACATTCTAATACAAGGATCAAGCATGGAACAATGTCTTTTGAAAGTTTTAAAAAGACAAGAAAATATAACTTACATTTAAATCGCGAAAAACAAAAAATAAAATATCTTGGACACCTGATTTCTGCAAAGGAACTTCAGAAATCAAAAGAAAAAATTAAGGCTATACTTGATATACCTGGACCGAAAAACCTTGAAGAAGTACATACAACTGTTTTTAGGTATGGTTAGATACTATGACAAATTTTTTTCTAATGCCTCAAGTGTGTTAGAACCACTAAACAACCTACTTCGAAAAAACGTTAAATTTAATTGGACAGACAAATGCGAGTCAGCATTTATTCGAGCAAAAACAGAAATTACCAGTGATAGAGTATCGATGCCATTTACTCCAGAATTACCAGTTTTACTTGCTACAGATGCCCTTACGGAATTTCCGGAGTTTTGTCCCACAGATTGTCTAATAATGGGTCAGTACTAGCTTTTATTTCGAGATCACTAACTAGGGCAGAACAAAATTATGGTCAATTGAATCGCGAAGCTACAGCAATTTATTGGTGTTTTAAAAAACTTTATCACTATATTTTGGGGAGAAAATTTATACTTATAGTTGATAATAAACCATTAATGACAATTTTTAATAATCCTTTAAACAATTATTACCAATTTTATCAGCGACTAGGATGATAAGGTACGCTCAGTTTTTGTCAGGTTTTGATTACTCCATAGAATATAGAAAATCTTCCGAACACATACCTAAATGCAGATTATTTGTCTAGAAATCCATTAAAGATAGATGAAAGTCAGTTCAATATTATCACACAACAAATTGAAACACCCTTATTAAATTCAAAATCAATTGCTACAGAAACACAAGTTGATGAAGATCTATCCAAACTTAAAAATGAGATAGTAAATAGAAAATTACGAGATCCAGAATATCTTTACAAGATGGAATACTATTTATTTAGAGGACGGAAAGTAACAATTCCAAAGAATCTTCAAGATTTAGTGCTGAAGGAATTACATAGCACTCATATTGGCATGGTAAAAATGAAATCGCTAGCAAGAAATTACTGCTCCAAGAAATTGATAAGGACATTGAAGATTTAGTTGGAAGTTGTACAACTTGTTGGGAAGTAAAGTTGCAATGCGCCGATTCATCACTGGGAAGAGCCAACAAAAAATTGGCAACGAGTCCACATAGACTATGCAGGACCGTTTTTAAATCATTTTGTTTTTATTGTTGTTGATGCAAAATCCAAATGGCCTCAACTACATTTTGCACTATTAATTTTCTGCAAGAAATTTTTAGTTGTTATGGATTCCGGAATTCATTGTAAGCGACAACGCTAGTATATTTAAATCTATGGATTTTAAAGAATTTTGTGAAAGAAATGGAACTAAACAACAGTTAATTGCACCAGGACATCTAGCTACTAATGGCCAAGCAGAGAGATTCTGCCAAACTTTCAAATCAAAATTAAAATGTATGATCAATGAAAGTGGCACATTACATGAAAAATTGCACGCATTTCTATTTAAGTACAGAACCACATCATTATTGAATGCAAAAACACCCTCAGAATTATTATTTGGTTGTATAACCTAAGGACAAAGTTAGATTTAGACTTTTTACGTGTCAAAAAAATAATGAATTACAACCAAAATTTGGGAAATTTTACCTTATTGGTTCTCGAATACAATCAAGAGATTATTTAAGATCTAAATTATGAAAATTTGGCACCATAGTTGAACGTTCAGGAAAACTTCATTATTTAATTGAATTAGATGATGGCTACATAATAAAACGACATTTTAATCAACTTAGACCTTGTCAAGTAGAAAAATCTGAAGTCCAGTTACATCAACCACAAATTCATAGTGACAATACACAAAATACAATACCACTACAAGAGAAACAACATAACAAGAAGAAAACAGTAGTTACATTTGCCCCTAATATTTTTCAACCACGATTTACACAAGGAATTCAAGATAGTCAAGTGCAGAAACCTATAATTCAAGAAGATTTACCATCAACTTCAAAAAATATACCATTTATTTCACCTCTAACATTAAACGATACTCTGCATGATTCATCTGGAGAAATTCAAGAAGAATCCATGCATCCAAATTCACCCAGAAACAGATGTTCCAAAAGAAATCCGGACGTTGGCCTCGAGCGCTGCCTCATACCTATTCAGTACCTACCAACAGTAGCTAAGTACCCAATTCAACTAATTTGAGACGTTCTACCAGAATTCGAAGATCTCCTGAAAGCCTAGAATTGTATTCAAAAAAATTAAAGGGCGGAGAGTTGTTATTTATATAATATAATATCATTATTAACCTGTTGTTAAATTTAGGATTGTTGTTTTAAAAACCTGTTAGTATTATTTATTGGCCGAGTTCGTTTTTGTCATCTTTTTCGTCGATTTGCTCCGAAATTTTGACAGGCACGTGACTAGATAAGACAGTTTCAATTCACAAATCACGTGCCTGTAAAAATTTCGGAGCAAAATCGACGCAAAAAATGACAAAAACGAACTCGGCCTTTATAAAGTTTCATGTCATTGTCAAATTTGATAATAAAAGACTCACATCTACAGCGTATTTTTTTACAAAATACATAACAATATTTGTGGAACTTTTATAAAACATCAATCAACGAAGCATTCCTATACCTACATATTTGAATTTCTTGAGCTTGAGACTTGAGGAACTTCTACTTTTAACTTTCTCTACTCTACAATCAACAGAAATCTGAAACATTCAAATTGTTCTAAGGCCTGAAGCTCACATTAACCTTTGCATGTTAACGACTAAACTTACATTTATCGTACAATCATGATCGAATCGAAACTTGAAAAAATTGTCATTAAAACTCTGCAATTTTAAGACAAAAATGTTGAATTAATAAATCAATTACCAAACCTTAGTCAACAATTATTTACCATAAAACGTTAAATTGCTACGCCTTCGCCGAATAAATTCAATAACTCACCAGTTAACCCGGAGGCCTATAGGCAATATTTTTAAAATTGAAAATGTCAGAATCGAGATTTGGAAAGTGGGTTACCGGCAGCCGCCTTTATAAACATAGAAAGGAAAATATTGCGCTTTGTTTTTTTTTTACCATAGGCAAATAATTACTTACCGTTCACCCATTTCCAAGTCCTCGAAGTTAATCCAGGTTCTTTTTGAGCTCCGATCCAAACCAGCTGCGTTTTGAGGTTGGGTTTACGCCGTTCCAGTTCCGCATAAAGAAACGAAGTTTGTCCAGGGTTCATGCCGTGAGCCAAATCTCCATTGTGACTCTGGCAATAGGCTCGGGCTTCCTGGAATGACCCGCCTCTGGATACTCCGAATTCGTAGCAGGTGCGAGCAAAAGCTGCTAGTTGAGCTTCTTCAGGTGAATCTTTTGGAGCGCATCTGTCCACTGAGAATTCTACGATAAAGATAATAAATTATTATGAAATTTGTGCCAGTGGTCAACAACCTTGTAAAACAATGAGTTTCTGTTACGAAACTTTACAGGTGATCATCCGATAATATTTATGCTTTTTTAATGGTTTTTATTGGCAATGTTTAGTAACAAAATACGAGGCGTCGCATAATTTAACAATATTAGATAATAGAAGTGAAACGATTTTATTCTTTTTGCACTTTCACTTACAATTAAATGGTTAACGGGCATTGTTTATATGGTTTTGGATTTTTTTTTTGTTGATGGTTGTAATTCGTAGTTGTTGATTGTATTTTATGAATTGTTGGAATTTTGAATTTTTGAGTCATGAGTGTGTGGGAAAAGTTTGAACGTAAATACATGTGTCTGTCTTTCGACGTTTTCTAGAATTTTTGAATACCGGTTTCTCTTCTTCTTATTAGCGACTATTATGGCTGTTGCGGAAATAACCCACAAGAGGTTTAATTTTTATTATTTCTAATTTAATATATCTCAATTTCTATTATTTACCATAAAAAATAATATTCTAAAAATAGATGCAATTGCTGGACTATTTATCCTGTAAAACCGGCAACAACAACCCTTTAGACCGGTAAAATTGCAGGTTTCTTCATTACTTTATAAGGTAGTGAACCTGTCTCGCAGCTGTGATTGGTCAGCCGTCACACAAAATCCCTAGTTTTTTGCGACCTGCTCCCCTGGCAGAGTCTAGTCGACGCACATTCTTCAGTACTAGAATAAGCGAAAAGTTCGCACCTTTGCGCCCTCTGAATGCTCTCCAGACGCAAACCCCAAAAAACCCTCATTAGTACGCGCGATTTATAGTGTCGCGATCTTGTAAATCGCGCTTTATGCGCCGTATGGCACCGCCACATTTTGTGTCTCTCTTCAACGCGCGACCCCGAGAACCCAGCTGACAGAATCAACGAGCAAGAAGAAGAGCCCGTTTTCGCCGCTACTTAACAACTCTGTTTTTCCCATAAAACCCACCATTTTTGTTAAAAACTTAATAAGATATTTTTGTAATTAATATCAGTATATTGTAAAAGTTCAGTTTAAAGAGTTGACCTATAAAAATACAGTCCACATCTATGACGATTTCTGTTTTATTTGTTGCATGGGCAACCGAAATGGAATCATAACCTCAACGTTTGAACATATAGAAAAATACTACTCTCTGTGTCTCAAGGCCTCACATGGTCTATATTATTGATTACAATTCATGTAATTAACCCCTAATTGTTGCAAGTCACCTCGGACGAGCAAAATTCTCTCCTACGCGATTGTCTTTTGGCTCTCTCTCACTCTCGACGGGCTAGAACGCGCCTGTATATCGTTGTGTTTTCTTTTCATCTCAGTGGAAAATTCCCTAGCTGCTAGTGCGAATAGTGATAAATGGATGAATAATCGCCTTGTGGATTTATCTGTATGAACCGGATTAAGCAAGTAAGACCGTTACAATTTCTCTAAGAGTCGAACAATAAGTCAATAAATACTGATTAGTGATTCGCTTGAAATGCACTATAATTTGAAGTGTTTTCTAACGTTTAATGCAGAAATTTAGTTTTCACACTCGTGAAATATTTAACATTTGTACATTTGTATATAGAAACTGAGCATATATAAAGACTTTTCGGGCACATATTGTTTACAGACTTCCGCAGAAAAGTGCTCAAATTGTTAATTCTCAATAAATAAAAGAACTTTCAAGGATCAATAAACATTTTGTGATTGCTCTGAACTGAATAAAGTTGAGGAATTATTTATGTGCTCTCGTGCATTTAATTATTTATTTTGTGTTTTCGTTCACTTAACATTTAACCATAAATGATATTATTATCATTATCAGATTTCCCTACCTTTCATAAATCAAGATACTCATTTACTTTAGATTAGTATAAAATTTGTAGTTCGACTGGACGTCCAATTAGGAATTTTTAGATAGGATTTGATTGCTGACTATACCGAATTACTTTCATTTATTAATTAAATTGATAACTATGCTATTTCAGCGTTTTATTTGTATAAATGAGAATCAAGGCACCCCTAACCCAATACAAGGCTTAAATGATCCAATACCTACACTTTATTTTTTCCCGAGATAGATTTTGACATTGAAAACTTTGAAACATAAACAATAACGCTTGACCCTGATTGGTCGCAAAACGAGGTGTTTCTGCAGGTTGACATCAGTTTTACAATAGCGACCAATAACCAGCATTAGCGGAATTGTTTATGTTTCAAAGTTGACAATGCCAAAATCTATCTTGAGAAAAAATAAAGTATAGTGGTTAATATTTACAGTCAGTCAAAGTAGAAACTTTTGACATCCCTGGTGCGGTTTGACTAAAGCCCAAAAAGGGGTAATAGCTAGCTCCGTCACAATGGCAATCTTTACTCAATTTGTTGACTGCAACTTGGAACAGACCCACTTGTATCGTACCAACGTTAAATAAGCGTTTTATTTTTCAGTTTCTGAAACTTCTCCCATTCTTTTATTTTCTATTAGCAATCTTCAGGAGAATTTTTCTTTTCGATCTTTCAAACGCCCTTGTCTGATTTTGTCTTCACCCAGAGTCTTTTTGAAAAATCTTCGAATAACTTTTCTGTCTGGTTATTCAATGTCTAGTGAAATCTTTCTGATGTTCCAAGTAACAATTTTTCTCAAAAATCATCAGCGAATTTTTCCTTTAACGTCTGTTACAAGTCCTTGAAGTATTTCTGCTTTTTATCTTTCAATTTTTGAAAATCCAAAACTCTTTTTGTCTATAATTTTTCAACTTATATGAAAAATTGCCAGGATTTTTTATCTGGATTCCTTAAAACCTAATTTATAAATCCTTGTATCTTTCTTCCATCTTCTAATTTCTCAAAGTCTTTTTGTTTATTAGGTATATCTTAAAGTTTGAAGAAAAATCTTTGAATTATTTTTCTTTCTGATGATTCGTCAACGTCTTGTCGGATTTTGTCTTTTCTCAGAGTCTTTTTGTTCAAATTCTAAGAAAAATCTTCGAATAATTTTTCTGTCTCATTATTCAACGTCTAGGAAAATCTTTCTGATCTTCCATGTAACAATTTCTCCCAAAAATCATCAGCATATTTGTCTTTCTGATCCTTCAACATCTGGTAAAGTCTGTCTGGTTCAATCTTTGTACAATTTCTCGAAGAGTAGGTTTTTTTCCTATATGTTTCTTTTTGATATTTCAACGTCTGTTGCAGATCCCTAGAGTATTTCTGTCTTTCATCTTCCAATTTCTAAAACTCTAAAACTCTCTTTGTCCATGGTCTTTCACTTTCTGTTAAAAATCGTCAGAAAAAATTCTCTCAGCGTATATAAAGGTCCTGTCTTTCAGTGCCCTAAAACCGGACCGATTCCGAAATTTTGAAAAAACTGATACAATGTTGATAAAAAAAAGTATCAATCACCAAAATCACACAAAAGATGAATGAGGAACCCTTAAACCGTAGGTACCAATTTTGAAAAAAAAAATAGACACAATGTTGATAAAGAAATCATTAATCACCTGTCAAAAGATGAATGTGGAACCCTATCAAACATCATGAGAAAACAAAATAAAAACTCAATTTGAAGAAATTTTTTTCATATTTTCAACCCATAAGGGCCGGTTTCTCAATAGCGGCTCACCTTTGGGTTGGTTTCAACTCCAGGGTAAACGTGTCCAGTTGCTATCTATACCCTGAAGTCATGCTTAACCTAGGGGTGACCAGCTATTGAGAAAACGGCCCTAAGTGCCCTAAAACGTCACCGATTTTGGAAAAAATGAACATAATGTTGATAGAGAAAGTACTAATCACCTGTCAAAAGATTAGATATTTCACTTGGAAGTTTTAAAATCATTGGTTCTTGCTTTCTTTTTAACCAAAAAATTAAAGTCCAAATTTCATGGATTTTCTTTCACTACGTCATAGAGGAGGTTCAGAGATATGTCGGAACCCACTTTTTTCCCCTTAATTTCCCGTTTTTCCAGGAGTTTCCGGCCCTTTTCTATACCCCCATAAAATGCAAAATCAAAATTTTCCGAATTTTGGAAAAACAAAAATTCCACTGTATAGAGAAGGTCAAAACAAGTGGAAAAGCTATTTGACTTTATCCCATAGGACGTCTTTTAAGCCCGGAAAAAAATAAAATAGAAAATTAATAGGGATGATTTTATAACTCTGGAACAGCCCGACATGGTCTTATTAAATGGGCCATAACTCTGGAACGCCTGGATCGATTTCGATGAATCATATTTTATTCGATAAAGGATTAAATTGCCCACAGAACGGCTTTATCCAGAATTTTCAGTATCATCCCGTTTCTAAGTTATCAGCCTTCAAAGTTAAAATTTTCTCAAAAATTAGGCTTAGCTTTGTTTCAGGTGGAGTTTCAACTTCCAGGACAACTCCCAGTGCCCTTTTGTCCCTTTATTATTGTTAGTTATGGAAGAAAATAAACAATAGAACGCTCTTCTTAAATTTTTTTTTATTATTTTTTCCCCAATAATGTAGTGAATTGAGGCAGTGACATGTTTATAAAAACAGATTTCCTAGAAAGTTTCAACTTTGAATGGTGATAACGCAAAAACTGGACAACTATTCTGTGTCTTAATGGTCCTTTGGGATCCCCCAAACTCCATACACTAAATTATTCTAAGATTTGGAGCCGTTCTATGGAAAAAGGCACTCAAAAAAATTGAAAAATTGATAAATCATCCCAAATTGCTTAATACGATTTTATTTTTGGAGCTATAAGTCCAAATGAGCTGAAATTTACAAGGATTCTAGTCCTTTAGTGGAGTAAGAATCGCTGAAAATTTCAGCTTTTTATCTACAATAGAAAAAATGTTATTATTTTTCAAAGTTTTCCAAAATTTAAATCATAAGGTAGCTACCCCAGTGCTAAAACGGTGAAATTAAAAAAAAAAAAAAAATTGAGATTTTTTGTCTTTATGGTCCTTTGGCCCAAACTCCATATACTAAATTAATCTTAGATTAAGAGCCGCGGATTCTATGAAAAAGGCCACTCAAAAAAATTGATAAACCATGACAAATTGCTTAACACGATTTTATTTCTGGAACAATAAGTTCAAATGAGCTGAAATTTTCAGGAATTGTAGTCCTGTACTGGAATAAGAATCGCTGAAAATTTCAGCTTTCTATCTATAATAGAAAAAAAGTTATGACCTTTCAAAGATTTCCAAAATCTAAATCATAAGGTAGCTTGTAGCTACCCCAGTAGAACGATGAACTTTCAGAACAAAATTGTCTAGATTTTGTGTCTTAATGGTCCTTTGGGATCCCTCAATCTCCATACACTAAATTATTCTGAGATTCGGAGCCGGATTCTATGAAAAAAGACACTTAGAACAATTTAAAAACATATAAATCAACACAAATTGCTTAAGACGATTTTATTTCTGGAACCATTGGTCCAAATGAGTTGAAATTTTCAGGGATTGTAGTTCTCTACTGGATTAAGAATCGATGTAAATTTCAGCTTTCTATCTATAATAGAAAAAGACTTATGACTTTTCAAAGTTTTCCAAGATCTAAATCATAAGGCGCTACCTCGGTATTAAAACTATGAAATTTCAACAAAAAAAAATTGTAGAGATTTTGTATCCTAATGGTTCCATACATTAAATTATTCTGAGATTTGGAGCCGGATTCTATGAAAAAAGCCACTCAGAAAAATTGATAAATCACGACAAATTGCTTAACACGATTTTATTTCTGGAACTGTAAGTCCTAAGCTGAAATTTTCAGGAATTGTAGTCCTCTACCGGAGTAAGAATCGAGGAAAATTTCAGCTTTCTATCTATAATAGAAAAAAAGTTATGACTTTTCAAAGTTTTCCAAAATCTAAATCATAAGGTAGTACCTATTAAAACGATGAAATTGTTGAGATTTTGTGTCTTAATGGTCCTTTGCGATCCCCCAATCTTCATACACCAAATTATTCTGAGATTTGGAGCCGGATTCTATGAAAAAAGGCACTCAGAAAAATTGAAAAATTGATAAATCACCTCAAATGGCCTAACACGATTTTATTTCTAGAACTATACGTCCAAATAAGCTGAAATTTTCAGGGATTCCATAAGTGCCGGATTTTGAAAAAAAATTGACACAATGTTGATAGAGAAAGTATTAATCACCTGTCAAAAGATGAATATGGAACCCTATCGAAAATCATCAGAAAATAAGATTAAACCTCAATTTGGAGCGAGTTTTTCAATATTTTCATCTCATAAGGGCCATAACGTTACAAGAGAAATCTTCAGAGTTTCCTTTATGAATTCTGATTCTTCTATCATTCTCATCTCATATTATCATGATTTCCAAAAGTAAAATGTATCAATAATCTTTCCACATCTGTCTATATCATCAGGGTATTTTTCTCTTTCATTTCTCAATCTCTCTTAAATCTTCTAAATTCAGTGAACAATTTTCAACGTCTGTTTAATACTTCTAGAGGCTTCCATCTTTCAATTTCCTTTTGAACTTCTGTAAAACCTCAGCAGAGTATTTCGCTCTCAAAACTTTTAACGTCTGCTAAAACTCTGTAAAGTCAAACATTCCATTCAACGGACAAAAGAGACAAAAAAAAAACTCAGGAGGTGGCTTTCTACCTTAGAGAATCCTAAAGGCTGATATAAATACCTGAGTTTCCATTCCTATATTTGTTTTAGGAGTTTGGGTTAAGTACTTTTTTCTTCTATGAGTTGTACGTTATCGTACTACATACTTTCGATGATCTGCCTGCATAATATGTTCCAAATTCTACAAGAAAACTGACCTCTGAGTCAGAATTTGGTTGATTTCCCGATCAGAGGAAACAACGCAAAAATGTATTATTCCAATAATTAAATCCATACCTCGTTGTCGTGATTAGCAATTTACCCACAGGTATAAATGAAAGTATGGTTTCGAAAGCGACAGTTGACCAAAGTAATATTATTATACGTTCAAGTTCATGCGTCGAATACCATTACCGACTTCCGTAAGGTGTACATATCGCAATTACATTAGATACTAAATATGTAATAGTTTCTTATTAATTGTTCATCAAAAATAATGTTTTTGGTTTCAAACTTCTTCACAAAACAAAGGATTTTCCTGTCATAATAATCGTAATTATCATAAATCGCATATGTATTTATTAATCGTTGGCTAATTAGCAAAGTAACCTTGGCATTACGTGAATATTGCCTCTATTATACAATGTCAGTTAAAATAATTTTATCCACTTACCATCTGTAGTAAATACCTCCACTTCGCATAAAGACAAGGAACCTTCAACTCCAACAAGCTGTAGGAACACGAATTCGCCAATCAAAGGCCTGGCACATGTAAAAGTCTTTGTTGAACCTTCATCTTAGTAAGAAAACAAAAACAAAATTAGCTAAGTATTTATCAAATCAAAAAAAAAAATCATCTTACCAATAGTTCCAGGAAACCAAGCGCACAAAGGGTTCCTTTGCAAATCCGTACTACTATTGCCCACTCTAATTTCCAAATCTTGTAATGGTTGATGTCCGCAACAACCCCTGGTTGTCACCCTGACTACTTTAACAGGGTAGGCTCGTAACAGGTCCACTTGCCACCAAGGACTCGCTTCTTTTTGAGTTTCCGAACATTTTTTGGTTTCATGGTCGCTGCTCGTCTCACCATCGTTGGCGTTTAGGGCAGTACCCCCACGAACTGTAGTCGATTGGTTAGCAGGTTTTCTGAAGGCTACATTTACACCTAGGAAGTAATTTTTCTAATAAAAAAAAAACGCTTATACGTACTAAATTCCTATAAGTAAACAATTATCATCAATTATTATTAATAGTTTAATTTATAACATTCGTGATGCTATTAAAACATACATAAGATTTTCAGGGTCGTATCGTGTACAATTTCAGGGTCTGCAATTCTTACCACAAAAAGGCATTTCTCCGGCCCATTGTCCCGATGGTGAGCAGGATATTTGGGTGTTCCCGAAGGTTTCGTAGCCCTCGTCACACCGGTAGGTCGCAATGGTACCCGGTATCAAGCTGGGTGAGCTCAAGGACATCCTTGCGTTCATTGGTACTGGTGGGTGACCACATTTTATTTCTGTAATAATAAAGAAGTGACTGTTACAATTTTATTATAGAAGGAAGTCGGCGACGTTATGGTACCATGAGCAAGAAATTGTTTAAGTTGGTCGTTTTTTTTTTTTTTTCAGTTGAATAATTGTGTAATAAACTAAGTCATATTCAGTTTTAATGAAAGGATTCAAAATTAATTCCGATTGAAGTTAAAAGGCCATTGAGTAGATAGGGAATTCTCTCATGGCACTTTCACTATGTTGTTGATTAAAATCACATATACGGGCATTGAATTCTGTCTGCCAAAGCCGCTACCTATAGACAATAGAAAGTTCAAAAATTATTACCGTGCAATGATACCAATATAGGTAGGAACCTACAAAGTTTAAATATTTTATATAACTGAAGCCGCAAGTCGTTGAAACCAGGGACTATAGAGGTAGGTACCACCTAGATACTAACAAATATACAGTTGATAAGGGGTTTTCATTCGGGCTTAATGGCCGTCATAAGTTGGAATTACTACCTGACGTTTCGCTAGCACGCGTGGCTAGCATCTTCAGAGGTGCTTCCATGTCCGATTCTGGTAGCAGACTGACGCGTTTCCGAACGTAAGTTGTATTTATGTGTGAGTGGCTGTGGTGGGGCAGGGGCGAGGCTTCGCGGCACGTGGCTAATCCCATCTTTCTCTGTACTCAATGGGATTTTTCTTGCGTTTTTGAGGATCGGGTTCCAGATTTGGTTAAGTTTTAGTGTTTCTTCTTTCCTGTTGAAGTTATCCGTATGTTTGTGGATTTCTATAGCTTTACGTACGTGAAACATTTCTATGTTCTTATTCATGAATTAACACACCCCCTCAAGTCTTACAATCTAGAACTACTTATTGAAATCAAAAATCAGCACAAAACAACATTTCTGAATACCTATAACTTAAAATAAACTAGGTACTCATTTAGCAAACAATAATATTTAATTTATTTCTAAAATATTTGAACTGCTCAGAGATTTAGTAAACAAATCTGCTACTTGCTCATTTGTTTGCAAATATTTGAGAGATATTTCGTTTTTGAAAATACTGTCCCTAATAAAATTATGCTTGACGTCGATGTGTTTACTTCTCTTCGTTTCAAGCGTAGATGCCATTTTTATTGTTGACTGGTTGTCCTCATAGACAGATCTACAATTGAAAATTTACTGAAATACGTTATTGCAAAGCATAAATCAGGACTACTACCTAGCATTATATACATTAAGTATCCTATAAGCTCACGATATGGTAAAAGTTCAGAACATTACTATTTTCCAAATTTAAGTTTATATTGAATAGGTATTTCTGAAATTTTACATATGTCATTTGAAAAACATTCAAAACTATTTGAATGAGCTCTTTTTGATCAATAGTTAAACCAAAATCTGTTTTTGTGATATTTAATCCTAAAAATGTCAACTTTTTAGCATCAGTTAAATCACGCATTTCAAAAACATTCATAAGCTCATCTTTAACTTTACAAATTTCTTTCACTAATTTACATACTTTTGAGTCGTCATCGGATTTAAGTCCATCTGGTATTTTCATGTACACTGGTTGTTTTAAGTCTCCATTCAAGAACGCTCGCACTTTACATCAAGCTGATGTATTTCCATATCTTCTTGAACATTCTTAAGAAAACAAGATACGAAATGTGTGCATTATTGCAACCGGTGAATACACTTCTTCACTTAAGTCTGTTCATTGGTATCCACGAGCCACCAATCTTGTTTTCTTTATTTTCTCACCATTAACATTTTTTTCACGAAAAATTCATCTACAAAAAATCGACCACTTTTTCACTATCTGGAATACTTGATTTAGGCACTAGTTTCCATGTGTTGTTTTTCTTTAATGATGATAACTCTTGATTTACTGCTTCATTCCATCCACTATCTTTCACATCTTCCTGATGGGTGTCTGGAACTTCAGTTGAGAAATCTCCAATTGATAAAGCCATCATCATTTCATAATCGTCATAGCGTTTAGGTAAAACTCTGTGCCTTGTTACTCTTCTTCCATTGTTATTTTCTTGTGCGTTCACATCATTATTTTCCATTTCATCATTTTCACTTTGATTTTCACCCTCTAATTCAGATTCATTCTCTCCATTTTCATTCTCACATATTCTCATCTCATTCTCCTTCACCCATCATTTTACTTTTATCAAAAATGACATTTCTGGCGGTCACTATTTTTCTGGAATATCGGTCCCATAAACGATATCCATTATCAGTATATCCCAGTAAGAACATCTTACGGCTTCTGGGATCCAATTTTCCATGTCTATTCTCTACTGGAATATGTACATGTGCTGTGCAACCAAAAACTCTTATCTTTTGAAGATTTGCTTTTTGTTTGTGCCAAATTTCAGATAGGGTTTTATTCTCTGATAAAACAGATGTTGGGGTTCTATTTATGAGAAATGCTGATGTGGCAACAGCCTCTTTCCAAAAATCTTTGTTCACACTTGCCTCTTTTTCTAAGAGGGTTCTATTGTAACGTTCGGCAACTCCATTTTATTCGGGGGTCTTGGGTATTGTGTATTCTAACTTGACATCTTTTTATTTACAATAATAATTCTTTATTTCGTGGGAAATATACTCCCCGCCATTGTCACATCGTATTCTTTCAGGTAATATACCAAATTTGTTCTTGACCATTGCTATGTATTCTTTAAATTTCTGGCAAACTTCACTCTTATGGGTCATAAAATAAATCACTGAAAAATGTGAGAAGTTGTCTATGAAACTAACAAAATACTTCATACCATCATGCGTTACTGGATTTATAGGCCCACAGACATCACTAGAAATCACTTCCATTATTCTTTTCGCCTTTCTCTCTTCTGGCAATTGTACAAATGGTTTTCTTGTCTGTTTCCCTTGTAAACAAATTTCACAGATTTTCGAACAAGGATACTTGGACGAATGCCCCATTCTTCGGTGTAAAATATCTTTTTCTTGCACTGTGATATTTGCTTGTATTTCTGGTATTTCAAAGTTCATAATATACTAATTTCCCATCAATTTTCCTCATGAAGCTACTTCATTTTCACCATTCAAGACTGATATCTTACTTTTCTCAAAGATTATCTTAAGGCCTTCTCCTTCTATTTTCTTTACAGATAATAGATTATGCCAGGGATTCTTACATACTACATACCAACACATTTTGCAACTTAATGTTTAATCCATTCTTAGTTTTCAAGTGCAGTGTTCCTTCTATGTGTGCTTCAACAGAAACTCCTTGTTTTGCAGCTTTAATGTAATGCTGAACTTTCTTTGTATCTACTAGATACTTTTCCAAATTTTGAGTCACCAACTGGTTTGTTGCTCCACTATCCACTACAAAATCAATAGTACCATTTCCAGAGTTACAATTTTCTGAGGTTAATCATGTAATAAAAGTTGCTTCCTGATCTTCAGCAACATTTGCATTTCTTTTTGAGTATTTATTTTGGTCTTCTTGTTTATTCTTGAAACAATCCGATTTCTTATGTCCTGGTAAGCCACATCCATAGCATTTAAATGGAAATTTTCCCTTCTGCATGCCTTTCTTTTTCTGTGCTCCGAAAGCCTGTGTGGAACTTTCACCATGACTTTCACATTTCTTTTGTCTAGACTCTTCTAATAGCAACTTGCTCTCACTCACTGAAGTTGCACCTGTGTAGCCAATCCACTTTTCTGATAAGTTCCGCTTAAGGTTTCCATAATTTCCTTAGCTGTGGTTTTCAACTTAATCATCTCCAGCACATTGTCGGCTAGACATTGAACAATCAAATTTCGTGCTTTCAGATCTTTCTTCTTCCATGCGCTGAGTGCTGTTAGATCTGTTGCTATTGGCGGATCCTCCGTCAAGACTCCCAGAACAGCATGGTGTTCAAGTAGTAATTTCACTCGAAATTCCTAATTACTGTGTCCAGAACCATCGAAGGGTTTCACGGTAATTGTTCCACTACTTGATGCCATATTTACACTGGTCTCCGACTGCGATTACCTAACCTTTTTGTCACCGACAATAAATTCCACTTCATAACGTTTTTCTGCGAACTACTCTATTTCCGCAACTGCCTGGTTACTGGGCCCATAACCTATTAGCCAGAGGCTTTTGTTTTAAAGACTTTTATTTAATACGATTACAAAAGGTTTATTCTAATAAACTAAAATGTGCTCTTACAGCTGACGAACAACAACAACAACTTAACTTAGATGACACTCATGACAGACAGGATGTCGCAAAGTCATACATAGGTAAATGTTTTTATTTCGATGTTCACATTCATGAATTGTAACATTACCAGGGAACGCGCTAGTCTAGTCTGCTACCAGAATCGGACATGGAAGTACCTCTGAAGATGCTAAACACGCGTGCTAGCAAAACGTCAGGAAGAAATTCCAACTTACGACGGCCATTAAGCCCGAATGAATCAATATCAATAAACCTGGGCCGCAAAAGCATCACAAACTTTATCAAATATACAGTTGTTGAAATTATTATTGAAAAATGTCTGGTAGCAACAACACAGTTCATCATTTGTATTCATATGTCCCTCTGATGTTGTAAATATAACTGAAACAATGCAATTATGGCGCCATAAAGTGATATCGTGTGAATTTCACCGTCATATTATTTTCAAATTATTATTCAGTCAAGTTGCGTCAGCCTAGGAAAACGAAAAAGGAAGTCGTTTATCAGATATGTGCGAAATGCTAAAATATTTTGAAAAAAAGCATATAATTAATTTTGAATATAATTAATAACAACCTCAATCCGCATATTCATTAGCCATCATCGAAATATAAGCCTTTAAATTACGTGTTCTCAATAATCTTATGTAGGTACCTACATACCATCATCAATATTATTAAAATAAAAACGTAATATGGGTCAGTAAACCACCTACAAGGCAATTTATGTATGCTAAGTTAAGGTAGAAATTGATATTCAGGTCTTGAAATTGAATCAGCTTCTTATTATTATAAGTACCTACAATG